GAACTCAGGTCAACAAGGTGCAGAGCTAGAGATAGTAGGAACTATGATGCTGCTTGGCCTGCTGTGTAGTAGGAACTATGATGCTGCTTGGCCTGTTGTGTTCATCCAGCTCTGCACCTTGTTGTCTCGGATTCTCCAGCATCTGCGGTTCCTACTATCTCTGAAGCCTTTCTGCTCCTATGATGCTGCTTGGCCTGCTGTGTTCATCCAGCTCTGCACTTTGTTGTCTCGGATTCTCCAACATCTGCAGTTCCTACTATCTCTGATTCACAGAGCTCATTCAGCTTGTCAAGTATCATCATTAACTTGCCCTGCCTATTATCCCATCCTGTACAATCTATTTTCTCATGCAGCTGTCGAATATCATCATTAATTTTTAGCTCTTCAGCCCATCCTATATGCTAAATTAAAACAAACTAGAATTGATGGTCCCACTCTAATATAAAATAACAAATCACAAAGGAAACTTGGAAAATTTTGAATTAAGTATCATTTTTAGCTGAAAGATGCACCTCAGCCACTGCTGTGTCTGCCAGTTGTGGAAGGTCTGAAATGTAGACTGGGTGCAACATGCTCCCTCATAACACATAGGTGTGGGCATAATCTTTGGAAGAAAGGCAGTCAGTTGGGTACAATGATCCAATCCTCCTTTCTACTCTTCTAAATAAACATTAAATAGGTTAGACAGCCTCTTTTGGGGAACTGTAACAGAAACAAAATCAAGTGATCAACAGAAACTTACCAAAATTAAATTAAAATATTATTCACAGGGGTGATGATACTCTCCAGTCCCTGCAATGTCCACAAGTCCTGAAAGGTTCCATTGTGCTGGCAGATTCTGCATGCTCCCTTTCCACAGACACCTGAGCAGAAGCATAGCCTCAGAACAGGGACAGACAGACAGGTGTGAAGGATCAATCCTCTTTTCTATTGTTTGAAAACAAACTTTAACAGGTTAAACAGTGCTGGTGGGGTTATTATAACAAAACCAAAACCAAATGGCCAATGGAATCTTACAGAAAAATAACAAAAGTTATCAAAATTAAATTAAGACATTGTTAACCAGGATGATGATACTTCCCAGCTCCCAAAAGCTCTACTGTGCTTGTGAAATGCTCCTTTCTACTCTTAGAACAGTCATTAATTCAGGTTAAAAAGCCTCTGGTGGGGCACTGTAATTAAAAAAAGAAATAAGTGGTCAGTAGAAACTTACAAAAATCAAATCAAAATACTGATATCTGGGTGATGATGCACTCCCAGTCCCCACTGATGAAATTGTCCTTTCCAGATATTTTCTAATCAACCCGTTCGGAGATGTTGTTACACACTTCTGGAGCAGGCAGGACTTGAACATGTGTCTTGTCATTCAGGGGTAGGGATACTAACACTGCACAACAAAAGCCCTAAATCCTCCTTTCAATGCTGACTCAAAGGGCCTGTCTAATTAACAGTGGTGGAGGATAACGCACTATTGCATCTGAATGAGAACATCATCTTACATAAGATGCAGTTTGTTGCATGGTAACAATAGATACAAGTTATGTTGATTTATAATCTTTGTAGTTATGCCTATCAGGAACCAGAGATGACATGTGGGACCTTTATTTGGACTGAGTATTAGACTGCTTTTACTCCACCAAAAGACTGTGACACATCAGACTGAGTGGAATTTAACGCAGCTTCAACATTAACTCTTTCATAAATATTACCTTACATAACATTCCCATCCACATTCATTTAGTCATGGATAATGACAATCAAACACAGAGAGAAATCAGCTCTGCTACAGCGACTTCTTTCCCCCAGCTACAAAAATTAACCGCACACAAGTGGCAATAAAGGTGTCCTCAGTCATAACCAGCAGGAGGTATTTCATTTCCCAAATGTTTAAATAGTATGTGACCTCCTGAAAGTCATCAGTTATGTCTGCATTAGACATCCAGGGACTTTCCATAATTCATTTATTTTGACACAGTCACATCTGTCATAGTTTGGCTCCTTGTAGAATGGGATAATCCTCTCTCAAGACTTGGCTGATGAATCTGAGGAATCCAACCAATAAACCAGATGAAAAATATATTAGGCATCATATGACCACAAGGGGAAGAATAGAACATGCCACTGGCTTACTCAAAACACGTTGTTGGTGCCTTCGCAGGTCTGGAGGAGCCCAGTCCAAAAGCCTGTTAAGGGTTTTCAGAATGATTGAGGATTTCTGCGTATTTCATAACATCCCGTTGCAGATAGAAGTGAAGCTGCAGGAATGGGGAGATACAGAATGCTTGCCAGCTGAGGACAAAAAGTGGGGACAGATGCAGGAGCCCAATGTAACTATTGTGCCTGCTGCTCCTCACCTGGCTGTCAGAGAAAACTTCAATGGTCTCAATCCATGCATATTTTACTTAATTTGTGTGCATGAGAGCATCTGACAATGCCATCAGAAATCACGTTCCACCTCATCCTAAAGATAGTTCAATCCAACCATTGTATTCAAATCATTTCCCCTTCATAAAAACTAGTTGTAGCATTGGCCTAATTACAGTTAGGTTGCAATGCTGTTGAATGAGAAATGCACCAAAGTAGATGCCTGGAAAATGAGCAGTTCAGATGAAGTCAATGAAATAAACATCATCATAACACCATTAACATTCCTAGCCACACCCAAGAGAATCCCCTAGCACAACAATTAAAACTCAGTCATCTGTTTCCTTTCAATCTAAGGAGGTATATTGTCTATAATTTTTAACCATCGTACAGTCCCAATCCTACTTCCTAATGTATGTTGTTTCAGGTATGAATAAGGAAAGCATTCCCTGAATATTTGTTGTCTGATTTTTAGTACTTGTTATGAAGGTATCAGTGATGCTGTGATCTCACTCTACCAATGATTAGATTTAGAATCTCTACAGTGTGGAAGCAGGCCATTTAGCCCACACTAAACCTCCAAAGAAAACCCCACCCACACCCATCCCCTATCTTATCCCTGTAACCCTGCATTTCCAATGGCTAACCCACCTAACCTACACATCCCTGGACACTATGGGCAATTTAATTGGCCAATCCACCTAATCTGCACATCTTTGGACTGTGGGAGGAAACCGAAACATCCAGAGGAAACCCACATAGACACAGAGAGTATGTGCAAACTGCATATAGACAGTCACCTGAGCATGGAATTGAGCCCTTGTCCCTAGCACTGTGAGGCAGCAGTGCTAACCACTAAGCCACCATGTCATCCTATGCTGATTCTGGATGCAACACTTCTTACTCCCCACCCCAGCTCCCTCCCACCATGTGGGAAACAGCCAGTGGTACCTCCCATGCAGTGGTACAACACAAATGAGTTTCATGTCCAATGCAGCTGCAACATTGATATGCAATACTTCAATGAAGTTTAAAATTTCAGCCATGAAATTCTTAATCATAGTCTTGAAGTCCTATTTAATCTGTACTTAACACAGGCGGACACATACACATACATAAACACACTATTTTTAAGATCATATATCGGATGTCTTCAGCTTTTCAGTCCATTGCAGTCCAAAAACCACAATGACAGACCTAACTAAAGATATTTCCTCTTTGTCTTGAAATAAACACATTCATTGATCTATTTTGTATCAGACAGTTAGATAACATTTGAGACTCAAAGAATTTCATGTCAACATCTCTATCCATTCAGAGATTAGATATTGTTAAAGATTTGATGGTATTTCCAGGCGAATTTTATTTCCTGTTTTTCTACGTGTGTTTTGTGTTATCCGTTTGTTAGAAAAATGAATGAATGAGGAGCTTAATGATGAATTTTAATATATTTATTGTAGATAAACTACTTCCACTGGTTGATGATTCTAGAATCAGGAGGCACAGTCTAGAGACAGGCCATTCAGGTGAGACATTAGAAAGCACTTCTCCATGCAAAGAGATAACACAGTGTGGAGCTGGAGGAACACAGCAGGCCAGGCAGCATCAGAGGAGCAGGAAAGTTGATGTTTTGGGTCGGGACCCTTCTTCAGAAATGGGGAGGGGGAAGGGACCTCAGAAATAAATAGAGAGAGGAGGAGTGGGGCTGGGGAAGGTAGGTGGGATGGTGATAGGTGAGTGCAGGTAGGCAGTGGTGGGGATTGGTCAGTGAGGTGGGAGGGGCGAATAGGTGGGAGACAAGATGGATAGGTTGTGTCTGGTCAAGGAAGCAGGGATGAGAGGGAGGGTTTGTCATGGGATGAGGTCAGTGTGGGGAGATTTTGAAACTGGTAAAATCTACGTTTAGGCCATTGGCCTGTAGGCTCCCGAGGTGGAACATGAGGTGCTGCTCCTCCAGGTTGCGGGTGGCATCATTGTGACACTGGAGGAGGCCCAGGATGGACACATCACCCAGGGAGTGGAGGGGGAGTTGAAATGGTTCATGACCAGAAGGTGTTGTTGTTTGTCGCAAACAAAGCGCAGGTGCTCTACAATACGGTCTCCGAGCCTCCGCTTGGTCTCACCAGCATCTGCAGTTCTTACTATTTCTACATGCAAAGAGCAGTGGAGGATTGGAATTCTCTTCCACAAACAACATTTGATGCTAATTCAATTGTTAAATTTAAGTCTGAAATAGTCACATTTTCATTATGCAAAGATATCAAGGGATATGGGCTCAAGGCAGACATATGAAATTAGGCTACAGATCAGTATGATCTTGATGAATGACAGAGCAGGCTCAAGGGACTGAATGGCCTACTCCTGTTCCTATGGTCCTAGATATTGTACACTGCTTGAAATAGCAGAAGAAATGCTTCTTCAAGATAAGACTGCGGATGGAGCTGAACTGGAAGCTTATGTATGAGGTGCTTGGAGTGCTTGCAAGGAACAATTGCACTGGTTGGAATCAACAGAAACTCAGAATCTGCATGTCAATAATAAACATAGATAAGTATAACTTACTGACATCTATCTACTTTTATTTTGTGTTAAGGTATCAATGTACACAATCAAAGAAATACTACTAGGAATCTACTCTACATGCAATTTTTTCGGGAAGATTTTGTATGATTGGACTTCTTGCCAGAAGGATATAGAGGACGTTGAGTATTACCTAAAATCTCTAGTGGAGTTCTGTACAAGGAATTATTTTTCCCAAACCACATTACTTCAGTAGGGTTCTGAGTTTGAGCAATTTTGGATCTCTTGCTAGGAATTTTGGGGAAACGTCTGCAGAAAGGGCGTTCTGTGTCCTGGTTACCCTGGTAAGATGTCTGATATATGGTAAAACCAAATCTACCACTCATCTCAGATGAATTTCCACGATCCCACAGCTCATAAGTATGTGCAGTCTGTTTTACCAAAGAGGGTCTTTTCTGTCCCAAGTCCTATAAGAGACAAGATAACACACAATTCAAAATAGAAAGCTGTTTAGACAACTAGAAACAAAGCAATTATTTCATGACATACTGATCCTGGTTAGATCATTGGAAATGGATTGTAACCACAACTACCTGAAATAGGGGACTGCAAAGCACAGTCTTATACACTTATTAACGATCAACTGCATGACATTGCAAATGGCTTAGAAGAAGATTGCTTACTTAGTCTATTCAATGTGGGATGCTCTGCATGGCATAGAAAAGAGAGGAATAAAACTGAAAAGACATCATAGCTGAATTAAGAAAGATTATTCAAGGTAAACAACAGCAAAAAAAATTCTGCTTTTGTTTTGCTTTGCTCTAAATAAGTCAGCAATTATGGTTTCAGGGATAGTAGGAACTGCAGATGCTGAAGAATCTGAGATAACAAGGTGTAGAGCTGGATGAGCACATAACACATTTACTACAGCCAAGAATCCCACTAGGAAAAGAAAAGTGAATGCCGAG